AAAAATATTAAAATGAAAAAGTAATAATTGCAATTTTAGTATCCAAACTTTTTATTCTTTTACAAATTATACCCAATTTTTTTTTTTTTATGTACCATCCATAATCTCAAACCTTTAAAACTTTATTTTCCACCCCTCGACACCTCCGGCGCTTTAATTGCTCGTTCCAAAACAGACACTGCCTACTCAAGCCTCTCCAAACTACAATCAATCGCCGCCACAACATGCAAACTCATCGCCAAATCCAAGCTCAGTTCTCCCTCAACCACATACCTCTCAAAACACTTCGCTTCCTTGAACGCATAGTCAAGGGCCTTGTTCGAACCCTCGCCTAATGCAATCATATCTCGGGCTACTTGAGTAAAAAGAGGTTGAGATCCGGGTTTTTGAGGAAGGATTCGTCAAGAAAGCTCTTTTCCGCAGGTGATTTCTTCTTGTCAGAACCCCGATCAGGAGAAGGCTTAGCGCGTGAAGTGAACGGAGAAGGGAAGGGCGGACGGGGAGGAGCCGAGAAGCTGGATTTTGGTTAACGGGTTCAGATCTGGGTGTGTGGCTCATTGAGTACCGAGATTCGCAACGGAGGAGCCTCCACTAGAGTTTTTAGCTATACTAAACCCGGCATTTTCGCTAAAAAAGTGGGAAAATGCAAGCTGAACTACAGTTGTATATAAGAGAGAATTGGGAAAAAAATCTTCGATATCCTCTTTGCACACTGACATAGAAAGTACGTTGTGCAATTTATATTCACAATATGCTGCCAAGCACGGTAGAAATAATGAACTAACATCACCGCCTTCTATAGTTTTTTATTCCCCAGTAACGATATATGGACCTACAATTCATTATTTCTACCGTGCTTGGCAACATATTGTGAATATAAATTGCACAATGTACTTTCTATGTCGTGTGCAATGGGGATATCGAAGAATTTTTCCAATGTGACCTAACATCACCGCCTTCTATAGTTTTGTCATTGCCTAATGACGATATATGGATCTATTTAAATGCAAATAATACAAAAAGTTCATCATCTTCCTATTTTTCTTCTAGTACCTTCACCAGACAATAAAATTTTCGTAAAGTTAGATATTTTCCATACCATATTCTTACTTGTTTAAATCAAGAAGAGATGAATAATTATGATCTTCTTGGATGGTAGCGAACAAATGAAAAAAAAAATATTCGATATTATCTTTGATGGCACTTGATCTACTAATGACTCGGTGTAAATTGTAACATCAAAGATTGCATTAGTATAGATGGTAGGATTTTGTCAAATCGAAGGTTGCATTAAAGATCGAAGGATTTTGTCAAACGAAAGAAGTAGATTGAAAGAAGATATATTTGAAGCTCTGATGTGCTTAATAGGTGATGAAATGAAGGCTACTTAATACAAGATAAGATTATTAGTGGAATTGCTAAACACTAAATTTTAAATTTATTGTGCAAATTGATATTTCATTTGTTTAAACGTTGTACACAAAATATTCATTTGTGTACAATTTTAACTCGGCCTACGTATTATAGTCTGTCGAAGTTCGTATTTTTACAACTTTATAATTCTTTTGATGAAATATATTTTAAATTTATCATTTCCTTGTAAATTTTCGTCTTCCTTATATTTTTGTGAGTGAAAGTGCAACTTTCAATTAAATTTTGATGAGCCGCGAGTGGCTCAGGAGTTGGCTCTCTCCACCGAGGGAGACTTAGTTGGGCGAGCCGAGTCCACATTTGGTGAGATTAATTGGCTTGCATGGTGAACCAGTTGAGCCGAGCCCGATTATAGGCAAGTCAAATGGCTTGACTTGACCCATTTAACTACTCTAGAAATTTCAATTGCAACTTTTTCCTAGTTCAATTGTGGCTAAGATCAAAAATGTCAAACGAAAAATTTTGTTCATAAAGGACGAGTAGTTTGAAATGTAGAGTTTTACATGACACTTAGCATTCTCTTCGTACTAATTAAACATAAATATTACTCCCTCCGTCCCAATTATAAAGGCTTGTTTCGTTTTTCAAACGGATTAAAAAAGTTTCTTTAATGTTATTGAAAAATTAATTTTTATCAAGATCTTTCATAGTTTACCCCAATTTAATTTTCAGTATGTAAAAATAAATTATTGTTTGAACTAATAAAGAATTTGAAGAAGAAAAAGAAGAAATGAGAATTGTTTCATGCTTCCAAGAAATGGGAAATGTGTGTATTTTGATAATTTCAAAAAGTTGCAATATTAAGTGGGGGAAATTTAATAAGGGTATATTGGTAAAGGAATACAACAGAATTTTTTACATTAGGAAACAGACCTATATATTTGGGACAAAAGAAAAAGGAAATACAGCCTATATAATTGGGACGGAGGAAGTATCTATATTGAGAATTAATGGATTAGGAAGCAATGCATGAACTTGTATTCAAGTAAAAGTGTCCTCAAATTCTAGAGAGACGAGAGCTTATTATGAATTTACTCCTCTCTCCATCTATTAGAGTGATTAATTAGGGAAATTTTGTATTTTTTCTTACGGAAAGAGGTGTGTGGGAGGGGGTGTGAGTTGTGGGACGGTAGAGGGTAAGGGGGTTACACAAGGGGGAATGAGGTTAGGACACAACACTAGATAGTGCAGTTAGAGGTGAGTAAGAAGATGATATGATGAAGGTGATAAGAGATTCAAATGGTATTTTTAGAATATTACATAAAAGGACACCATTTTAAAGAAAATTATTAAGAATATTTATCATTTTTTTTAACTTGGTCATTTTTTAATATAAAAAATCTTTTAAATGGGGGTCTCTCTTTCTCTCTCGATGAAAAGATTGACCGTGTTGATGTTGAGGGAAATTTCTCTTTCTGATTTCGAAGAACTAAAAATCTTTCTTGGTCAATGCACAACCATACGAACATTTTGTATTTTTAGTCATATAACGTTAAAAAAATCACTACTACTCTCTAATTAAATAAACCTCACTAATCACTATATCTAGTCTTGAGCGTGTGAAAGAGACAATGTTTTCTTTTAAGAAAAGGAGTTAGCTTGTTCCAAATAGAAGCAATCCAAATCAAATCTCAAGAAAAGTGAAGCTTTGGAATAATACCATTTGGATCCATCAATCACTTAACATAAAATATTACACAAAATATCAACAATAACCAAAAATATATTTAACAATTTCATAAATGCACTATCGTCAGTGCTCCATGTTT